TTGAAAAGGTATGGAGATAGGACATATCCTTGGCACACATCCTCCTCAATTTTGAACCATGCACTGTTCCCTTGTTTTGTTCTGACAACTGCCTTCTGGGCCAAGTATAGGTTTCACATAAGCATAATCAAGTGTTCTGGGATTCCCCTTTTTCTCAGAGTCAGTTTGTTGTGATCTACACAGTCAAATGCCTTTGCATAGTCAATGAAACAAAGATAGACGTTCCTCTGGTATTCTCTGCTTTCATCCAAGATCCATCTAACATTAGCTACACTATCCCTATTAGGCAGTGTAAATTCCATTTTTACTCCAAAACCTTGTACAACTGAAGAACCTGAGTATATTTTAGAAGGCGGGAAATGTCATTTCCATTTAAGTTAAACCTAAGACATCTGTGCTTCACCCCATGTACCTTGTAACCAGTGCTACCTGGGTCCTGAGGCTTGGATGGGCCTAGAGCTAAACACCAAGATGTCATTAATATAACGTTAATCACCAGATTATAATTATAAAGAAGACCAAATAAAAATGGATGCCTTTGAACTCTGATGTGGGTGAAGAGTATTGAAAATACTATGGACTGCCAAAACAACAAAGAAGTCTTGGAGGATGTGCAACCAGGGTGTTCCTTAGAAGCAAGGATGGGGCAACTTCATTTCACATACTTTGGGTATGTTGTCAGGAAGCACCTGTCCTTAGAAAAAGACATCATGTTTGGAAAAAGTAGAGGATCAGTGAAAGAAAGCAAATCCCTCAATGAGGTGGATTGATTCAATGACTACAACAAATGGGTCTGAGCATGGCAGAGATTTTGATGATGGCACAGGATAAAACAAAGTTTTCATCTGCTTATAGTGTTGCTGTGAGGCATAGTCAGCTCCAAGACACCTGTTGTTTCTGTTATTGATTGCCTTCAAGTCGAGCACGACTCATAGCGACCCTATGAACAAAATGCTTGAAGCCCCTCTACAACTATCGACATTTACCAAAGTTCATAGTTTCCAGAGGCATGTTCTTTAGGAAGTGGATGCCACTCCTGCATTCAAAACACCTAACAAGAGAAAAATCTGTTCATGTGTGACATGTGTCCATCTGTTTTTGTGAATGTAGTTTAGCATGACATATGGCTGCTTGACACCTTTAAATAATGACAGCATCACATGTCAGCCAGAGGAGAACAAAATGTCACGTTCTTCAGCCAAAGGTCGGCCTTGGTCAAAGGTCAATGAAGGGAGGCCAGGAGATTACCTAAGAGGTTAGGCCTGTGGTAAGTCAGAAAGATAGGAGTATTTCACATGCTCTGGGGTTGATTAAAACAAAACAAAACAACCAATAAAACCCCAACAAACCCATATTTAGTCCATGGATGAAGACTGAGCTGATTCACTGTAGATCTTTTTGAAATTCTTTCTTGATATAAAGATAAAAATAAGAGAACAAACTTACATATATTAAACTTTCAATAAGTCATGTTGATGGATTGATTAGTGTCCCATCCTTCTCTCCATTGTATGCTTCTTGAGTAAAGAAATTACAGCTTGTTTCTTTCCAAGTTAAAAAGGAGAAAATCTAAAGTCTTCTTGAAGTAGAGTCCATAAATTCAAATTATTGTAATGTGAGAAGTGTGTCTAATAAGATAGATAGATATGTTATTTAATCTTTCAATGAAATAAAATATAAAAACATCATTGCCATTGGGTTAGCTCCAACTCAACGACCCTGGACGATAGAATAAGATTTCCAAGGCTGCACATTTTTCCAGAAGCAACCTACCTCATCTTTCTCAAAAGGATGAGTTGGGGTGCCAGACCATTAATCTTTGAGATATCAGCAAATGTTTTTGACTGTTACAACATCAGGGCCCTTTAGATGTAATTGAAAATTGTGAAGTGCTTATAACAAAGCAGAGCCAAATGACAGCAAGCCAACTACAGGCAAGCCAAAACGGGACTGGTTCATTTCTTTATTACATTAATATTGAGAATGAGACTTCTGATGAGCAGTGTTAGTAACACCCAGGATCCAACTAGAAATGCAAACAAACTCTTAGACTCTGCCCAGTCTATATTCTCAAGGCAAACAGCCTTAGAAGACAAGAGATAATGTCTCCCTTCAAGATAGAGGGAAGATTTGCTCTTGGCCAATATAAGAGATAATATCTCTCTCTGGGACAGAGGATGAGCAGATTTGATGACAACCTTATATATAATTTTATGAGAATTCCTAATTTACAACACTGCAAATGTACATCTTGAAATGTTCTCTTGTAATGCTAGCTGCACCGCCAGAGGGTCAACTATGGGTCAGTTCTGACTAGATAACAGAACACACACACACACACACACACACACACATTTCCATTATCTTTTTATATTATATGGAACTGCGGAGGCCTAGTGGTGAGGAGCTGTGCTGCTAACCCACAGGCATACAGTTCAAATCCCCCAGTCACTCTGCAGGGGAGAGATGGACAAACTCCTCCTGTACAATCTACAGTCTGCAAAAAGCCACTGGAAGATCAGCTATGAGTCAGTTCCAACTCAATAGAACACACCAGTAGCATGATAAAGGGAGACCAAAAAGACAAAGTGCATAAAATGTGAGGTGACAATATTGTGAGAGTTATGCCATTTTCCCAGGTGAGCCTGAGGTTTCTGATGCCATTTTGAAAGTTTGGAATGCTATATTTCGGCAATAATTGGCTGTACATTTTATTTTCAATATTACTTAGAATATCTGTGGTTCCTATGACTGCCAGGAGAATGGCAGGGATTAAAAAAAACCCTCTAGCTAGTTGGTACCTGTTTTTTTTTTTTTGGCCAAGTCCAAGGAGATGAAATATGAGCAACACCGTGGGTGCAGGTTACATCCTTTATCTCTCAACTTCCTGAGCTATTTATTCATTGCTTCCCACCCTAACTTTGATTTCTGGGAATCCAGCAATAAAAGAGACCTGATTCTAATTCTTGTTATAACTTGATGTACATTCTCTTAGTTAAATGTTCAAAACAGTGAGTAGTATCCACACCACTCTACTACTATAAAGAGACTGAATATAAATGATAATACAGAGCTCTTAATTTAGAAAAAATCATATGTATATATGTATGTGTGTGTGTGTGTGTATATATATAGTTGTGTACTGTTTGTTGCATTGGAATTGACTCTCCAGCAGGTTTTCAGAGGCATTAAATTGCATGGGAGAAGATTGTCCATCTTTCTTGTGGGAATGCCTGGTAGATTTGAATCACAAACCTTTGGGTTGGCAGCACAACTCCTTAATACTAAGACATATAAAGGTAGTCAATTCTAGGGGAGCTCTGGTGGCCTAGTGGCAAGGAGCTGCAACTACAATCCCAGTGGCTCATGGTTCGAATCCACCAGATGCTCTGCCGGGAAAAGGAGGGACAATCTCCTCCTGTACCAGTCAGATGTGATTTGACGGTACACTCACACACACACACACACACAAAAAAAAAAAAGGTAGTCAATTCTAAACCCTAAGACTGTATTTTGACAAAATTCATGAGTCATCACTCAAAGCATAAGCTAAGATAAGAAATAATGGGAAATCAAGAAAGAGGTTTGTTGTTGTTGTTGTTAAGTGCTGTTGAGTCATAGACGACTCATAGCAACACTATGACCTGAGCACTGTTCATAGAGTTTCTAGAGGCAAGCTATTTCAGAAGTAGATGCCACTCCTGCTTCCATGCTTGTTTTAATCGGGGAGCTCCACCAAACACTGTCCACCATGGGTAACCATTATCACATTTGGCACATCTGTCACACAGCATCCCAGCAACCACGAGTTACCTCTGTACAGCAAATGGACAGACGAGTGCTATACCATGTAGAAGAATGTTTGAAAGAGGTTTACCTGCTCAAAAATGTGTAATGTGTTTTCTACACAAATTTAAAGGGGGGGGGGGAGGGAATCAGAAATAGAGAACAGGAAATTTTTGATGCCAGTTTATTTCTCAAGTAACATTTGCAAAAAGAAGCACCAAATCTCAAATACAGCAGAAAACAATGAAAGGTGAAAGAAGGGTTTTGAGGCAAGCAATGGGTCATTCTTTAGATTATTAGGTGCTATTTGTCTTTTGCCATCATGGAAACAATTTCATTGTAAACTTCTTGAGGGGCATTCATTGCCCAGATAAAGTCCAAGTGGTTGTATGGAGGGATCTTCTTGTGGTAAATGAGATTAGGGAGTTGGGGAAGCAGCATGTCAACATCTTGAGGGTCAGCCAACCAGTCCTGTCCACCGCTCCACACAGCAACTGGCACCTTCACGTCTGTCAAGTTGTACAAGGGAGGTGTGGGCTGAAAAAGGAGAGGAAGGTAAGAGTTTTCACAGATATTTCTGCTTCAAGGCAACACTTATTCCTTGAATGTATTCTGTGATGTTAACTATACGTGAATTTGAAACAAAAAGTTAACTCAGAGAAAATTTCTTTCATTCATGAAGCAAATTCACCAAGCATAGTAAGTTTAGACAAGTGATTTCCAAATTCTAATAGACCTGTAAATCACTTGAGGTTATGTTCAAATACAAATCTTTAAACAGTAAGATTTTAGCGAACTCATTAACATACTGTCTTTAAGTTGATTCTGACTCCTAGTGACCCTGGAGTACAGTAGAGCTGCTCATAAAATTTCCAAGGCTGTGTATTTTTACCTAAGTGAGTTTCAGTGGCCTAGTGGGTAGAGATCTGTGCTGCCAACCCAAAGGCACAGGTTTGGATCTGCCAGCTACTCCTCTGCAGAAAGATAGGCAACCTCTTCCTGTGTGATTCACAGCCCATGAAAACCTGCTAGAGTGTTGGTTCTGATAGATGGCTACAACAGCAACAATAAATCTTTGCTGAAGCTGACTGCCTCGTCTTTCACCTGACCAGCCTCCAGGTAGCGGTCAAAGGCCTTAACTACAGTCATAACCTCCAGGGTTCCTTTTAGGTATAATTCTCACTGACTGAAAACTTAAATTTTAACTCAGACGGAAGGAAGTCATTTCATTGCATTCTAGTAGATTTTGTCCAGGCACACATTTGAAAATAGGATCTCCTGAAACTGTCCTGAATCACTTAGACTTGCTTTCATTAAGTTCTGAGTCTGGTCAATATGTAAATGAGTCAGTAAGTTAAGGAGCTATATTTGTTGACAACTCATCTGGCTTTATTAAATACTAGTTCAAACTATCAGCCCCATTTCCTGTTTTCAGAAAATGATCATTCAGAACTAGAATTTAATAATGTCATAGAGCAAGATAAAAAAAAAATCAGATGATCGCCTCCAATTTTCCAGTTGCCCATGAAGAATTTTAGTTTTGTTAGAACCCACTTTTGACAGTATCAATATCTAGGACAGTAACTTTTCTTCCATTCTATTTTATAAAATAGACAACTTTACACTGCAAAGTATTTTACTATGTAGAATTTTCAACATCATTTTCTTATTTTCCTATTATATTCCTTTACATGCTGGAGAAAAGGAAAGTGTGTAGAGAATATCTGTATTAATAAACTTTGCTTTGCTTCTATTATTCAAATAATCTCCTAGCTGCTTATATCTATCTGGCTTTTAAACGAATGCCACTACCTTAGTTAGCTGAAGATCAATCTAACCTGTTATGAGATTGATTAGAGGGAGGGAAGCCAAAGAGATTCGGCATTTTAGACCACACTTCTGTCTTCTAACAAGTAGTCTTCTGATTATCGATGTTAAAGCTCAGTAGAAAGGTGGACTCAAAGCAAGTCTGTGTTTTGGAGGTTGGGGAAGGGGATGGGTGGGGGAATTTCAATAAAAGTTTTGTTTTTGATACTCTAAACACTTCTTTAGACATAATAAAGATGTAATGGTAAAGGAGGGCATCTTCTCTATATCCAGGCTAGTACTGTAAAATATAAAATTCCCTACTGAACGAAAGGACATGAACATGCTCTCTCTCATTGATGTAGAGCTGGAACCGCCTTATAAACGACCCTTCACTGGTTTTCTAAGGCTGTGGCAGGAGGTGACTCGGGTGACACCACACCACACAGGATACTTCAACTTCTCCTGGCAAAATGTTGTAGCATAAATGAAGCAGAAGACGCCCTAAGGCACAAGTCAATCCTGGAGCAGAAGTTCAAGACTCCCAAATGCAAGAGATACTGCCTGCAGCAGAAGAAACTGGCAGGAGCTTGATGTGTTTGCAATCACAGAAGCCCAGATAGATTGACGTATTGTTGGATAGGAGAGCAAGATGTTTAATGGAGTAGGTAGGCATTGAAGTGAATGATGGTGGAGCAGGAAAAGGGTTGGGTCAAGACACACCTGCCAAGGATGGGGACAACATGGAATCTATTGGTTATTTTTACTACTGGGATATATCTTCAATCTGCTCTTTTATGTAAAATGCTTGTCTGTCAGATAATGTTCTAAATCTGAGCATTCAAGTTAAGGCAGACTAGGAAGAAGGATTGGCAATCCACTCCTGAAATAGCAGACCTTTGAAAGCTCTATGTACAAGAGAACACACTTAGACTAGCAACTGAGTTAGAGCCCTCAAGTATGGACACACATAGGAGGAGGAACTGTTGTAAGCAGACATTAGTGATTGGAACATGGAATGTGAGAACCATGAATGTAGGAAAATTATATACTGTTAAGGAAGAAATGGAATGCATAAATAAACATACTAGGTATTGGCGAAATGAGATGGACTGGCATGGGACATTTTGAGTCAGAGGATCGTATGATCTACTATGTTGGAGATGAAAAGGTGAGGAAAAATGGGATTGCTTTCATAGTTAAAAAAGTCATTTCTAGATCTGTCCTGAAATACAATGTTTTGAGTGACAGGACAATATTCATACACATACAAGGAAGTCCAGTGATTACCATTATCATTAAAATATATGCACCAACAACCAGAGCCACAGAGGAGGAAATAGAAGATTTATACCAATGTTTGCAGTCAGAGATTGATCAAACATGCAATCAAGATGCATTGATAATAATGGCTGACTGGAATGCAAAAGTTGGAAACAGAGAAGAAGAATCAGTAGTTGGAAAACATGGACTTGGTGATAGAATGATAGGAAACATAAATGCAGGATATACATATGAATTTCACCTGATGGTATGCATGGAAACCAGACAGATTATATCTCTGGAAAGAGTCATTGGAGAAGCTCAATATCAGCTGTGAAAACTAGGTTAGTTGCTGAATATAGAAAAGACCACCAACTACTCATATGCAACTTCAAACTGAAGCTAAGGAAAATTAAATCAAGTCCACAGGAACTGAAATTTGACCTCGAGTCTATCCCTCCTGAATTTCAAAACCATCTCAGGAACAGGTGTAAGGCCTTGAATACTAATGAGTGAAGATCAGAAAAGACCAAGATGGATGTCAGAAGAAACGGAATATTGCAGTAGAGCACCAAGAAGCCAAAGCAAAGGGAAGAAATCAAGATATTAAGGAGTTGAACAGAAGATTCCAAAAGGCAGTGTGGGAAGACCAAGTAAAACATTACAATGAAATGTACAAGGAGTTGGAGTCAGAAAATAAAAAATGACAGAACATGCCCAGCATTTCTCAAGCTGAAAGAACTGAAGAACAAATTCAAGCCTCAAGTTGCAATACATAGGGTTGCTTTGGGCAGAATAGTAATTGATCCAGGAAGCATTAAAAGAAGGGAAAAGTATACAGAATCATTGCACCAAAAGGAATTGACAGACACAGAAGAATTTCATGAAACAACATATGAGCAAGAGCCTATGGTGATGAAGGAAGAAGTTCAAGGTGATCTGAAAGAATTGGCAAAAATCAAAGGCCCCAGGAATTGATGGCATACCGACTGACATATTTCATCAAATGCCCTGGATGTGTTCACCAGGTTGTGTCAAGACATCTGAAGCACAGCCACCTGGCCAACTGACTGGAAAAGGTCTATATTTGTTCCGATTTCAAAGAAAGGTGATTCAACAGAATGAAGAAATTATCAAACAGTATCATTGATATCACACGCAAGCAAGATTCTGCTGAAGATTAACCAAAAACGAGTAGAACAGCACATCAGCAGAGAACAACCTGAAGTACAGGCTAGGTTTAGAAGAGGCCATAGTACTAAAGATATTATAGCTAATGTCAGATGGATCCTGGCTGAAAGCAGAGTACCAGAGGAATGTTTATCTCTGTTTCATTGACTATGCAAAGGCATTTGACTGTGTAAATCACAACAAACTATGATTAACTCTGAGAAGAATGGGAATCCCAGAACACTTGATTGTGCTTATGCAAAACCTGTACTTGGACCAGGAAGCAATCCTCAGAAGAGAGCAAGGAAACACTGCATGGTTCAAAATTGGGAAAGGTGTACACCAGGGATGTGTCCTATCTCTATATCTTTTCTATCTACATGCAGAACAGATTATGTGGGAGGCTGGGCTCTATGATGAGAAATATGGCATCAGGATTGAAGGAAGATTCATCAACAATCTGCATTATGCAGATGACACCATCCTGCTTGCTGAAACTGAGGAGGACCTGAAGTGCTTGCTACAGAGACTCAAAGACTGCAGCATTCAATATGGATGGAAGCTCAACATCAAAAAAACTGAGATTCTCACCACTGGGTTGATTGGCAGAATCATGCTAGATGGTGAAGAGATTGAGATTGTTAACAGCTTTCATTTGCTTGGCTCTACAATCAACACTCTTGGTACCAGCAGCTAGTAAATTAAAAGACGAATTGTACTACAGAAGTCTGCTGTCAGAGACCTCTCCAAAGTACTGAAGAGAAACAATGTCAGTCTGGAGACTAAAGTGCACCTGAGACAAGCCATGGTCTTCGAAATTATATGCATCAGAAAGCTGGACAAAGACTAGGGATGACAGATGGAAAATTGAAACCTTTGAGTTTGGAGAAGAGTATTGAATAGACAACGGACTGCTAGGAGAACAAACAGGTTATTCCTGGAGAGTGTGAGACCAGGATGCTCCTTGGACACAAAGATTCTGAAGACTTGCCTGACATACTTTTGACATGTTGCAAAGTGGGATCAGTCCTTGGAGAGTGACATCACGCTTGGGAAGGTGGAGGGACAGCACAGGAGAGGAAGACCTCAGTGCCTGGGGTTATGGGGGTAGGTGTATCGATAGAGATAGACAATAGGCCGTAGAGATTGGCACAAGATAGAGCAGGGTTTAAGGCTGTTGTATTTAGGGTCGCTATGAGTCTCAGGCAACTTGATGGCACATAACAGCAACACTATAGGTGTTTACCCTGTGTTAAGGACTAATGAGCAATATCCCACGAAATCCTGTTAATAATTCTGGGCAGTGAGATGGCCAAATCAATCCACAAAATCCTACTGATCACAGATAGGATGAACTTTAAAGTCCAGTGTTCATGCTACAATAAATATGAGGCTCACACCATATGTCTGTACTGCATGGTATATGTTTACCAAAATATGCCTAGCCTTGATCTGCAAGTACCATATCTTCCTATACATCTGAGCACATATTTCGTATTGAAATAGCTCTTTGATTACAAGTCAAAGGACAAAGGATAGTGTTGTTTAAGAAGATGAAGATTCTCTCTTTACCTCATAAACAGAAAAATTAGTTTATTAGGCCTAGTGATTGTGCTTTAAAAAGGAGAGGAAAAGATTCTGGGAGTATAAATTTCTGAGTAGCTCTGGTAATGCGTATGAATGGGGAGGCTGATAAAGTCTGGAAAGGATCTCACACATGGAGGTGTAGTTCTTTGAAGCACCTTGAATGAAGTCAGCCAAAGAAATATGAGTGTACAGTTAAGTGGGAAAATGGGAGACTCAGGTGAGATTTGACAAGATGCCAGGATTCCAAGGAAATAATGGTCTACTTCATAATTCCCCAAAAAGACTCGCTAGATCTGGGTCTTATTCTCTCTTTGGAAAAAATATATTCATGATTAGTGTGATTTATTCTTTCACATTTTTCATCTTTGTCTTCCAAAAGGAAATAATTTCAACTTTGCAACACTTACCTGATTGTAGTGCAGAATGTTCTGAGCTGGGCTTCCCCAGTTAAAGCTTTGGAATTCCCCAGACTCAACAGCCTAGAGGAAGGGAGGGAGAAAGTTGACTGTTAACACGTGCATAGAAATGCAAAGAAAATTCTTCCAACCATGGAAAATATAAAAGCTAACCATTTTCATGCAGTCATGACTTCAATTTAAACAACTAGTAGAAAAACGTAACTATTTTTTAAAAATAAAATTCTTGTTGATTAAAATCAATGTATTTATGCAACTGTGCTTGAAATATTTTTCCTGCATAAAGCCAATTCATACCCTTGTTACCCAAAACATCAGCTTTCTAACATGATTTTAATTCACAAGCTCAGAATTATTTTGTTCTCATGATTTTCATTTGCCAGAGAAGTTCTCTGCCAAAAGCATTTGAAAGAATCTTTCTTAGGTAAAGTACTAGGTAATAGGCTTCTAAAGATTGTTTTAACATTTGCGAACTGATACCTGAGTCCAATGAAGCATGTTTTGAACAGAAGTTCCTGCAGGATTATGTGACAGATACACATCCAAGCGGCTCTAAGAAGCAAATAAACATAAATTACATATGCGTAGTGAGTTCTGGTGGCTCAGTCTAGAAAGAATTGTGCTGTTAACCAAGAGGCTGAGCCTCTCTGGCACTTCAAATCCACCTGCAGCTTCAAGGGAGAAAAATGGGTAATACCCTCTCATTCAATTTACATCCTCAGAAACCTCCTTGAGGGTCAACTATGAATCAGTTCTGACTTGATGACAATCAGTTTTAGATACACACACTCCAGTTCTCCAGAAAAAGGATTAATGTGTCAAGGATTTCATTTTATTTGGATCCACAACTAGAGTCCATGGGAGCCAAGAGTTGAGAAGGCAAATGATGTATCACACTGGGAAAATCTCCTGCGTAAGACCTCTTTTCAATGCCATTTTGAGGACTAAAGTGCACCTGACCCAAGCGGTATTATTTTCAATTGCCTCTTACTCTCTTGAAAGCCACATAATTCATTAATAAGACCAGGAAAAAACTGATGCATCTGAATTATACTGTTGGGAAAAAATAATAAATATACCAGCACTTTCTGATTTGGAGTTCCTGTTCAAATGACTCAGTGATAAGTCTGTTCTGATGTAAAACACTTCTTTTTCTTTTTCATTATTATTGTTTTCTATTATCTTTATAAATCATAACATTGAACACCTGTGAATGGCCATCTGAGAATACTGTTAGCAAATTACAATAATGTACTCAAAACCCCAAACAACATTTACTCCTAAGTAGGATTTAGTATAGCTCTCTCAAATGCATTTTAAATCAGGGATTACCTATACTACAGACGGCCAGAAAAAATGGACAAATTTATCTGGGGGGTGGGATCCAACTAGAATGCTCCTTAGAAATGATTATGAGTGAGAATTTATTTTTTGTATTTTAGGTATGTTATCAGGAGGGATAAAGACTTGTGTAAACATTTATCATGGTTGGTAAAATTGAGAGCAAAAAAGGCCATCAGTGGGAGGGCTTGGCATAGAGACCATAATGGACTCAAGCAGAGCAAAATTTGTGAGGTTGGTATCAGACTGCAAATTGTTTGCTTCAGTTTTGCAAAAGGGCCTCTATGAAGTGAGGTTACTCAATGGCACCTAAGAACAACAACTAATGAGCTCCAAAGCAATTCACCTCTAAGTTCTCCTCCAGCTATTAAAGGCCAGTCTTTATGGAGGGATGTGAGCGAAACAGAGGCAGCTCACTTTAGAGCTAGCCAAGTTGTATGTGCTATCTTGTTTAATTTGTTAATAGCAAATTGTATGTGCTAACTTGTTTAATTAGCAGGCAATAAATGTGGAGATTTTGATCTCCATTTTATAAAAATAAAAATCAAGGCCCAAAGAGGTTTAGAGAAGTGCCCCGGGCCAGACCACTAATAGCAACGTGGAGCCAGTGGTATTAATCTAGGCTGATGACTCCAAAATCTCAGTTTTCCTCATTCTTTACTTAAATAGCAACAGACAGCAATTGCCATGTCTACATACGTTTTCCCCCCCTCTTAGCAGAGTTATAAATATATAAGATATATTTACCAACTAATGTTCTCTAGGAACTCTAACCCATTTTGTTCTTACCTCAGATTGTCCACTACAGTCTCCTTTTAGAGTGAATAAACTTGTCTGTAATGGATCTTAAAGTCACCACATAGAGGATACAGTCAACACATGGAACGTCTTAGGGGGCCAACCTGTCTCTCCATTTGTTTATCATAGAAAAGATGAAATCTCTAATTGTTTTTTTTTCTCTATGTCTCCCTGTTTTGATTATTTTTCTTATAAGGCTTCTGATGACGGAATTCAGTAATCTGGGTTGCCATTCCTCAGGACAATCAAGATCGTCAACTCACTGATAATCCATATACAGAATGGCAAAAGCCCCAGCTCAGACACCAACGCTATTTCTAGTTCCCAGAATATACCAGGTATAAGTGATTAGGGGAAAAGTGCCTAAATCTACTGCTTGAAATATTCCGGATATAAACTACAATAAATACGAACCATATTCAAGTTCTGATGGTCGAATCCACAAATGATAAACAAGGCATTGCTGCAAAGGCTGTTCACAGTCTCACGGTTGCACACTTCAGTAGCAAGAAAATCATTAAAGTAGCTGTGTGGGTAGAATATTTTGTTGCCAAAAATCATCTGAAAAATAAAATCATATTGGAGGGGTATAACTACCAAGCTGCAGGAAAGATTCCATTAAAAAAAAATCTACTTGTACAGGAATGATCCCAGATATGGTCTTTGCAATCACTTGCTATGCATCAAAGAGCTGGACATTGACCAAGAATGATAGGAGAAGAATTGGTGCCTTTGAGTTGTGGTGCTGGAGAAGAGTTTTAAACATACCATGGACCACCAAGAAAACAAATAAGTTTGTCTTGAAGGGGGTGAAACCAAGATACTTCTTGGAGTCAAGGATTTTGAAGCTCCATCTCACATATTTTGGACATACAGCCAGGAGGGACCAGTCCTTGGGGAAGGAAATAATACTTGGAAGGGTCGAGGGACAGTGTAGGAGAGGAAGACCCTGGGTGAGACAGATTGACACAGTAACTGGGGAAATTAATGTAGGTGTGTCAGATACAGTAAGATTAGCTCAAGATAGAGCAGGGTTCAGGACACTTGCACTGTAAGTCATAGTTGACTTGACAGCACATAACAACAACAGGAATGATTAGACTGATAATATTTTTCTTATTTCTGGAGGTTGTTTTAAGAACTTCAAACATTTTCATTTTCATGAATTTTAAAATTATCAGAGATCAATGTTTTTGTAGGTGCTGATGAGCTGACTACAATTTATAGCAACCCAGACAGATCTGAACCTTGCCTTATCCCGAACCATCTCCACAATCTCCTTCATGCTCAAGCCCACTATTGTAGTCTGTGTGAATCCATCTCGATGACGGTGTCTTCCTTTCTATCACCAACCCTCTGTCTTTTCCAGCATGATGTCTTTTTTCCTGGGATGGGCCCCTCCTGACAATATGCCCAAAGTATTTGGGACAATGTCTCACCATTTTCAGTCACCTGACTGAGAAGAAATAGAATGCACAAAGTTATAGTCTAGTTGAGGTGGTAAGTTGTTGTGTTGATGTTAAGTGCCGTCGAGTTGGAGGCAACTCATAGTGACCCTATGAATGGAAGTCCTGGACACTTGTGTGACTTTTGTCCTTTCTCCGGGTTTATAGGGTTTCTGGAGGCAAGCTATTACAGAAGTGGGTGCCACTATTCTTTCTTAGTCTATTCACTTTTCTTCCTATCCATTTTCCACCGCTTAGGTGGTTTAGAATTTTATACTTGATTATTTTTTATTTTGGTGTTTTGGGTTTGCTTTTTCTTTAAATCTCCTTCTCTACTCCAGGAGCAGAGTCACATCCTTGATGTTGCCAAGTAGGGTACTGGGTAGTTGAAATATCTGTGGAAGAGTACAAATAACCCCATACCTTGCTATCCTATAAAAGCTAATAAAGAATAAGGTTTATACAGGGATTTATAAGATATCTAATCTACCAGTTTCTTTCTGGGAGAAAGATGGAAAACCTCTTATATGATTTGTAGCCTCTGGAAACCCACTGGAAGGTGAGTTATGCATCGGTTCCAACTTGAAGACACATGACAACATTTTGTGTGGGAATTTAAATATATTAATATGGAAAAGTTAAGTGAACCCAAAGAAAGATTGTTATTCTTGTTATTTATGTTCCGCAGAGATAGAACCAACCCATAGCTGACCCTCCAGTAGGTTTTCAGAGGCAGTTAATCGTACAGGAGGAGATGGCCTAATTTTTTCCCACAGAGTAACTGGTGGATTCAAACCCAGAGCCTTTGAGTTGGTGGTGCAACTCCTTATTATTAATCTACCAGAAGCTCCAAGATAAGATGGATTGACACTGTAATTGGGGTAAAGAAGGTAGGTGTGTCAGAGTCAGTGAGACTGGCTCATGGCAGGGCAGGCTTCAGAGCTGCTGTACGCAGATAGGGTCACTATGAGTCACAGATGACTTGATGGGATAGAACAACAACAATAAGGAAAACAGAAACATGTATTTCCATCCTTGGATACAACAAACACATCATTGTCAATGAGTATTGCTTTGCTTTTGTTTTTCTCTCATCACTTTGAAATCCATGGGCAGTTTGAATCTCAGATTCAAGTTAAGAGAATCACGTACCTTAAAGAGGAATGTAGGAATAAGTTGAAGTTTATTTAAAAGGCTTTTGGTGTACTTCACTGTGGCAACTGGAGCTAGTGCATAAAAAGTTTTTATTTTTTTGGCCAGTTTGGGATTGGTAGAAAACGCAATAAAACCTGAAAATGAGTAGGGCATTGATTAGAAGATGGTTTTTGACTGTTGGTTTTGGTTGTTGATCTTTTAGAATATGTGATATTGTCTTACATCTATTAAGGGTAATATCTGAGACAATCTAGGAAGTTGGCATTTCTGTTTCTTCAAAGTAACAGTATTTTTTGCATATTTATTTTATTCTCCTATAATTACTAAAAAAATAATTAGGTAGAACCTTAAAAAAATTGTAATACAATCTTTTCTCTGGCCTTGAAAAAAACAGACTAAATTTTGCATAATCACTTTATGACAAAAATATCCTATCATTTATGCTACATATAAGCATTTAAATTAAAGTGTTAAAAGTAGGCGAAGCTGGATTTTAAATCTTGACTTTGTCATCTATCAACTTTGTTAATTTGAACGTGTTACCTACACTCTAAGAACCTAGTTTACTTCTCTGACTAGAGGGTTAATAATAATGAGTGCTTCATTAGGTTGTATAGGAAGTAACTGCATGAGTTGAATCATGCACCACATTTGCCATGTAACTCAACATGACCACTCAAGATCATTCAGACATCCATATACAAATATATTTGGCTTTATCTAGAATGAATTGATCTTTCCAAGTCCAGTATATTACTACACTAGGATATAGCCAAATAGTTACTACGTTAAATTCACTGCAATCTAATTGCAGGGTGACAGTACCACCCTTCTGCTTGTAATGGTATAGTCATCTAAGCTATCCAGTTTACTTCTACATACTCCACTTATTTAGTTTTGCTCTGATATAACTTCACTGAGTTGTATAGGGAACAAATCACATGATGAATGGAAATCCCACAGTATGTGGTACAGACTAAGCTTGCTAGCTTTGAAGACTTTTACATACCAATGGTGGTCCCTGGTTTTACATACCAATGGTGGTTCCCTGGGAGTGGCCAACATAATGTAGCTTTTCCTGTTTAGTTTTCTTTAAAATGAAGTCAATAGTCGCTGGAAGATCATATTTAGCCATTTCATCAAAACTGCAATTGAAAAAGACCAAACAAAATAAAACTGAATGTATGTCCTTCTCATAGTTTCCAAAATTAAAAAAAAAATAGTTTAAGTTCCCTTTGAGAAATGGAAATACAGATTCTCTAAGAATTTTAGCTTATAGAAAACTAATGAGCATGAAGGACCCTTTGGAGTAGCTTCTTAGACACAATGACATCACTTCTGAAACTCAGCATTACAACTGTAATTTAACCTGTTTTATAATGTAAGGTAGTATTTATAAATGGAAGATTAGTTCTACTCCTCAAATTGCAATCAGATTTAATAATCAGTAAATCAGTTGTTCCAGTTATTTCTTCTTCTTCTTCTTCTTCTTTTTTACTTGTTGTGTGCTATTGAATTGGCTCCGACTGGCACAGGAGGAGATTGCTCCCCCTTCTCTAGTGGAGCCTCTGGTGGATTTAAACTGTGCACCTTCAGGATTGCAGCTCAGCTTCTTGCCACTAGGCCACCAGAGCTCTCTTCCAGAGTCACTTGATATGAACCCTTTTCCTTTCTATTTTATTTTTCACAAATTAGCCAGAAAGATCTTGAAGAGGTAAACTGGATAGCTCAGAACTCTATTGTACTTTCTTACTGGACCCAGAAAGGTCACTAAGGTTTTCATATTGTTGTTAAGATTACCCATTGTTCTTCCACAGAGCAGCTAGTGGATCCAAACCATAAATCTTTGGGTTGACAACCCAGATCTTTACCACCAGGCCACCAGATATCCCTGAGGTCTCCTCAAACCTGCCTGATCTCATCCTTACCAGCATGTCTAGTCTCCTGCATGACACTCTTTTTTTCTTATTATGCTCTGGTCACACTGGCTTCCTTTCAATTTTCAGAACTCTTGTATCTCAGCCTCACAGTCCAACTCTTTCCCATCTGGTAAGGAAGGCGGCCAGTGAAAGGAAATCTTTGAGGGTCTCTCTATAGTGTTAGAATTTTATTTCTCTTCTTCTATTGATTATTGATAACAATGCAGATTGCTAGTACTGTACCCCTCAGCTGGTTTTGGCACTCACCTAGGCTGTGTCTGCATGATCATTTGAGAATCGGAAGCAGTTCTTTTTTTTTTATTTTTATTTTATTTTATTATTATTTGTGTGTGTGTGTGTGTGTGTGTGTGTCTGTGTACCGTCAAATCAGATCTGACTGGTACTGGAGGAGATTGTCCCTCCTTTCCCGGCAGAGCATCTGGTGGATTCGAACCATGTACCTCTGGGATTGCAGTGCAGCTAGCTTCTTGCCACTAGGCCACCAGAGCTCCCCTCGGAAGCAGTTCTTGCATCAGTATTATTGTTCATTCCATTTAGAGAAGCCTCTTTACTAACCATCCCCATGCTGAGTATGGAGTAGGAAAAAGTTTGAAGGAAAAGCTATCCTTAGAATGTGATATATGGATGAAATAAAGAAGGAAATAAATAGACATTACTTCCTTCTTCAAGTCTTCGGAGTATAACTCGTTGGTATAGGGTTAGATTGGAAAAGAAAAATATTCATGCATTTTTTAGAGTCTAAATATATTTTTTGTTGTTCATATCTCTTCTTTTACCTGAAAGCCCAGAATTCAACTGAGTCTGGTGAAAAGTACAAATTTCTCCTGGCCCAGGTATTTCCTCTGCTGTTCCCCAGCCACACATCATAACCAGCATCTGCTAGAATGAAGGCCAGGCTGTTGTTGGGCAGATTTGAAATCCAGTTTGTAGCTGATGTGAGCAAGCCATGCTGCAAAAATGCCACAGGCCTCCGGCCTAATGAAGAAAAATTTGAAAATATTATAAACACACTTCATAACATCTATATAGAAAAAGATATGACTTGATAGAGGAGAAACACCAAGAGGGATATCTCCTATTATAAGAAAAACAGGAACATAAATACAATATTCATATGACTAGGGGTAGGAGGTTTTACCACCAACCCTTTGAATCTACTAGCTCCTCTGCAGGAGAAAGAGAGCAATCTTCTCGCGTGTGATTTACAACCTCTGAAAACTTTCTGGAGGGCAATGAGTTAAGTGGAATCGAAATGTTAAATAAGTTTATCTGATTAAGTTGAGTAATTTTGTATATTTTACTTGAGTGTACTGAGTTGATTTAACATTGGAACTTCAAAAAGTGTGCTAGTCTGTTTTCATAAAGATTTGACAGCTCTGTAAAGCCTAGGCTGTTTATCATGTTATCTGCATGGAATCCATTTGGTCATAACAACAATGGCAAAAATGATCAAATGCTACACTTGAACTATGGGAAGCTTATTGTATGCCAGTTATACCTCAAATCCTTTTGTTAGACGTTGTTGAGCCCACTTCAATGTACAGCATCCCAGTGTAAAAAAGAGAAGTTGCCCCATAGGGTTTTCTAGGATGTGATGCTAACTGAGAAATTATGTTCTAAGAAAACATGCCAATGTGCTAAGTGTACCTTGGGGACTAAATTTAAAATTTTATTTCCCTCTTGTTCTGCCAATATTTAACATCTTTTCTTCCTACAACATAAATTAAAAAAATTATAATGCTATCAAAAAGTGAATTTTATCTACTTAAGAAACAAGATGCAGATTGTCGCCCTTCTCTTTCCTCTGCAGAACAAGGCCTGGGTAATTTTTCTTTTCCATCTTGTAAGTCTCAGCTTGGTTGTTATCTCTGAGAAAATGCTTGTCTTGACTTCCCCAAGCTAAAAGAAGTGTCTTCCTCAGCCCTGCCAGCTTGGTCAGACTCTCAAAAGTAAACTTCCTACCGTCTAGTGGGAACTCTTAGCTGAACTGGCTCTCCAGTGGATTTTGTTAGTCACACGGGAAGAGACTACTCCTCTTTCTCTTGGAGCTGTTGCTGCTGTTGTTGTTGTGTGCCACTGAGTCACAACTGACCCATAGCTGACCCTCTGGCCGGTTTTCAGAGGCAGTTAATCACATGGGAGGAGACTGCCCATCCATCTCCTGCGGAGCAGCTGGTGGAGTCGAACTTTGTGCCTTTGAGATTGCAGCGCAGTTTCTTACTGCTAGGCCAGCAGCACTTTCTATTTGTTGTGCCTCTAGTGGCTTCAAACTGCCTAGAGGTCACAGTTTTTTATTAACAGTGCAGCTCTCAATGGAGTTTGAATTCACAGCTTCTTATCAGTTTATCATCCGGTGTGTAATTCTAGCATCAAACATATCGCATATGATTATAATAATTTGTTTATCAATCTCAGCAACTACTTGAAAAACTCCTGGGAGTTTGGACATACAGGTTGAATGTAATTTTACTTCTAGAATAAGCAAAAATCATTAAATCCTTAAGGAGAAAGAAACAAAAGGGAATCAGAAGATAGTGAGGGAGGGGGAAATGAGGAGAGGAAAAGAGGGTCAAAGGAGGAGGCAAAGGGAAGAACGGAGGAGAGTGGGATGCGTCTACCTCTATAGGCTGAATTTTTCTTTCCGTAAGGAATTCTGTTGATCCCAAGGATGTAACCATCTTCAGTCACAACATCATATTCTTCAGTTGGGTACCCCCAGTAGGAAATCATTTGACTCTAAAAAGGGGGAGGGGGAATCACAAACCAAATCTAGGTAACATTTCAAATGGATCAAGTAGGTAGTCATTCTTTATATTTTTAGTTGTTGTATATCATCCAATCAGAACTGATCCTCCAGCAAGTTTTCAGAGGCAGGAAATCTTTCATTTTAGAGACTGCCCACCTATCTCCCACAGGGCAGCTGGCAGAATGCATACCTTTGCATCAGCAGTGCAATTTCTTACCACTAAGCCCTTTTTTAGTTGTTGTTGTTGCTGTTGTTGTTATGTGCCTTTGTGTCGCCTGCAACTCATAGCAACCCTGTGTACAAGAGCCCTAAACCTGTTCTGTCCTGTGCCAATCTCACTGTCTCAGACACTCCTATCCCAAGTACCCAATCACTGAATCTATCCACATCATAGAGGATCTTCCTCCTCTGTGCTATCCCTCTACCCTCCCAAGCATGATGCCCTTTTCCAAGGACTGGTTCCTCCTTGCAACATGTCCAAAGTATGTTAGATGAAGCTTCAGAATCCTTGCTTCCAAGGAGCAGCTTGGTTTAATCCTTTCCAGTTTGTACCTGTTCTTTTTCTTAGCCACCCATGGTATATTCAATATTCTTCTTCAACACCACAGACATCAATTCTCCTTCTATTCTCCCTAGTCATAGTCCAGCTCTCTGATGCATAGCAAGTGATTGCAAAGATCATGGCCTGTATCAGGCACACCTTAGTCTCCAGAGTGACACCATTGCTCTTCAGTACTTTGGAGTTAGTTATGTTTAATTTATGGAGCTCTAGTGGCTTAGTGATAAAGAGTTGCAATATCAACCTAAAGGCACACAATCTGAATCCACCAGCAGATAGATAGACAATCTTTTCTCATGAGATTTATAGCCTCTGAAAACGTGATGGCAGGTCAGCTACATATCAGTTCTGACTCTATGGCACAGAACAACATGCTTCATTTAAACCCCATACAGTTCTAAAACGCTTGTTATTGATAGTCTTGATATTGAAGTCTCTACCTCACAACTTACAATGTTCATATTCACTTCCGGGCTCTCAGAGAGTGATTTTCCGAAGAAACCCTGCACAGTTCCAAGCGCAGACAGCAGACTTGCCACTGTGAAAAGTAGCCACATTTTGGACCTGTCTAAAACAAAATGAAATAAATCCATCTCCTGATTAGTCATGGCACTTTCATAATACTTGCATTTCCAGTTCATTTCACCTTCATGAGAAATAGAAAAATGCTTGGGTTAGATTATGTTTTTTTGGAAAATGCAAACAAACATTTTAGTACTTAGCATGCTTGGACTCTGTTTTCTTTGCATAAGACATTATATACTAGACTTTGAAGTCCTACAGAAGGAATTTTCAGTCCCTTTATGATTTCATTATGCTTCATGTTTAAGACTTTTACCAGCTCATTTGAGAACCCTAAGTAGAATGGAGTGCCAGGTGGAAAGTGGAGATTTTCACTAGATTCAGTCTCAAAATAATATGCATTGAAACCTATCAAATGTATTTAATACTATTTCTAACATTCTCTAAATAGATACATATAGCTCTGCGATAATCCTGTGAACTGAAAAGCTGCCACCACTTTCTCAACATGTTACCATATCTACAATAACATGTGAATATTATTTTAGAAAGATTATTGACTAGGGATGATAGAAGTAGAATGAGGTCTTTGGGATACTATGGTGCTGGAGAAGAGTATTGAATGTACCATGGACTGTCAGGAGAACAAAGAAATTCGTCCTGTCGAGTGAAAGACCAGGCTGATCCTTGGAGGCAAGGATTCTGAAGCTTCATCTGGCATACTTTAGGTACTTTGCAAAAAGGTACCAGTCCTTGGACAGGGACATCATGCTTGGAAAGGTGGAGGGACTGCACAAGAGAGGAAGACCTTCGATGGGATGGATTGATTCAGTGTCAGAAGTCATAGGGGTAGGTGTATTGGAGACAGTGAGTTTGGCACAGGCTAGAGCAGGTTTCAGAGCTGTTGTACATATGGTCTCTATGAGTCACAAGCAACTCAACAGCACATAAAAGCAACATTGCTTTCCTGGTTTGTTGTTTAAGGACCCTGGTGGCAAAGAGTCGCTGCTATGTAGTGGACTCTAGGCCCAAAGGCAGATTCATATCTGGCAAAATATAGGCAGTTTCCCCTGGTAAATATTCATAGCTTCAGAAATGTCATGGAGGATCCACCATGAGTCAAAACTACATTGGCAGTGGTTTGATTCTGGGTTTTCAGTTTTTTGCTTAGGTATTAGGTAGATAATTACTCTTGTTGTTAAGTACCACTGTGTTGTTGTCTTTGACACATCAAGACCCTAGGTAAAGCAAAATGAAACCCTGCTCAATCCTGCACCATCTTCACAGTCTCTATTATGCTTAAACCCATTGCTAAAATCACTGTGTCAATTCATCTCATTGATGGTATTCTTCATTTACACCTTCTGCTTTACCAAACACAATTTCTTCCTCAAAGGCCTATCCCTCCAGATACTTTGGTGATTATATATATTTTCCTCAAGTAGAAACAAAAAAGAGCGACCCATATAATGAATTGAAAAGGATTCTAGGAATTTTTTTCCATTTATTTTATAGATGAAACACTTCTTAGAGAATTGGATGAAAATTTCAAATAGACTCAATCAGTTCTAATGTTTCAATAATCAGTCTCTCACATAATCACTCTGACAAATTTTTAGCATACAGGTCGTTGTAAAGGAACATATTCTGAAAGCCAAGTAGTCAGTAACTTAAAAAAGTGCTTATTAAAAGATGATTATTTTCTCCCCAATTAAAAATAGCCTAATTGATGACTCTGTTGGATTTACTCTCACCTTGGAACTGAGTAATTTAAACAGGATTGTTCAATTGAAGATTGACAGAGTTTTTTCTTGAATATTAAAAAAAATTGCATCTACTCCTTATATTATAACTTGTTCTTTCAAATTTTACATTTTGCTTTAAGTTTCCATTTATAGCTTTTTCTGAAAAAAACATTTTATATAAGACTCCACCTTTTTTACTGTTTTTCAAGTCTGAAGAGAGATCTGCCCTCAAATATTTGAAAGGGTTTTCATGTGGAAGATGATTTCAAATAAATTTAGTTTTGGTTCACCAGAAAGAAATCATTCAGTAAATGTTTTTTGAGAGGCTACTATGTACCTGAAACAGTATTTTAAGTTTATAAGATTAAAGATTCCAGATATACATAATATAGAACTAGAAGTTCGATTGTCCAATTAAAATGGGATTCTTCTATATCATCAAATATTTCTTCTTAGAAAACAGCTGTTAGTTTCAAATTGCTGAACATTTGTAAACAACTCAGCACTTAAACTTTATACTTTTACTTATTATATATTATTATATACTTATTATTTATATTGTCCAAAAATGTTGTTGTTGTTGAGTACCACCAAATCATGTATTTTAAGAATTTTGTCAAGTTGTTTAGTTTTTTTTTTAAAAAAGGATTCTTTGTAAGACTGTATAACCTTTTATCATAATTCACATTGAACACTTAGCATAGTTTCTAATATCAAAAAGTGTCTCAAATTTGACACTTTTGACACATTGATTACTTATTAAGTAAAGAATTCAATTTAGTAGTATTCTTAAAAATTACTTTTAATGTAATCATATTTTTACAATGCTACATATTTTAGAAAGTTACACACCACTGTCATGGAATCAATTCCACTTTGGCAGTGACCTGTCTTTGGGTTTTTGAGGCTACAAACTGCAAGGGAAACAATATCTTATATTTTTCCTAAAGAATTGCTGATTGATTTAAACCACCAAATAATTTAATCAAATACTATTTAGCTGGGATGAAACTATTCAACACATCATATCAACAAGAATAATTCTTATGATCCTTGAGCCCTAATCTGTTTCTTCTTAAATGAGACCGTAGCATCAGCTTTTATATTATGTAGTAATTGAAAATGTTTAAATAGTAAACAAATTCATTATCCAGTAATTAAGCAGTTCTTGTACATATATAATAATAGTTAAAAACAAGTTCAAAAGAAATCCTAGAGAAATAAACTCTAATTGAAACAGGCACATTTATTAAGACTAAGGGCCTAGTGGCAAGAAGCAGTGCTGCAACCCTGAAGGCATGCAGTTGGAGTCCACCAGTTGCTCCATGGGAGAAGAATGAACAATCTCCTCCCAATGCGGTTAAGTGCCTCTTAAAACCTGCTGAAAGGTCAGCTATGGGTTGGTTCTTACTCTATGGTACACAACAACAAACAAACTACAACAAATAGTTTCTAAAAATGCAACTATTGGGTGAAAAAAGGGTGAGGGGAAAGACATTGAATAATTCTAAAATTAAATTTGCTCAGAAAAGTTATACTTACAATCTCTCCAGAATTGTTAAGATTATGTTTCTCTAGCTGTTTCCTATTTTGGTTACTACTATGTTCACTCCTTATATACAAAACACTCACAAAGACCAGAATTATCCACCTCTGATTACGTATCTATGAAGTCTCATTATCTGTACATCATCTAATTTTGAAATGACAAGCCTAAAAATCAAATATTGTATCCACTTTCACGTAGTATTGTGTGTTCACTCACTTTTAACTTTATCAATCCCAAATATTGCCTAAAGGAGGTATACTGATTAAAAACTATTTAAAAATGTTAAACTGACTCTTGATAGCGTAAACATATAAAATTGTTGAGCCACAGATATAATGCAAATAATTATCTAGTGAGATTCAGATAAGGTCTAATTGTTATTTGTTTATTAATACTTAACTCCCATTCAGGAATAGTGAAGATATAATTGCTGTTATAAAACTATAGATTTATAACTATTTCATTAAGCCCCATAATACAATTGTCTGGACTTTTACCTTTGAACTAAAGTAGGAAAATGTTATTTCAAATACCATATGTTTGTACATAATTTTCCGTATCCTTGCTCCATATTTACTCAACTCTGGTTGATTGTTATTCTCGACAGAGTTTACAAAGAAAATAATGATAATGAATTCTATATAGATTTATCTGAATTTAAAGACTTTTCTAAATATCCTTAAAAATGTGAATATACTAAATTAGCAGGTGCAATATAGACTAAGCATGTTTTTTCATATCATTGCAACATTTAAACAAGAGAATGAAAGATGAGCTTCTTTTAAGCCTTTCATTGTACTTGCAAAGGATTTGGAGTCAGAATCTTTGGAAACAAAATTCTAGAAATCTTTAAATGAAATCTGAAAGCTTTACTGAGAAGCAATGCAATAAAATATACTCATTTCTTTATAATGATGTGTGATGCTGTCAAATCAGTCCAGGACTCATTATGACATGGTGCCCAATGGACGACAGCACTGCCCGGTTCTGTGCCACCTCACGTCATTGACTGTGGAATGTATCTGCTTCTTTTCATTGTTGCTAGGTGCCATCTTGCTGGTTCTAACTCATCTCAACCTAATACACAACAGAACAAAATATTGCCGGATCCTGCTTCATCCATTGTTGTAACTACTTTGCTAAATCATCTTTTTCAGGCACTTCCTCTTTTGCACTCTCTAGTTTACCAAACATTATGTTTTCCTCTCAGTAATTTCTTCAGATAACATGACCAAAATATGTGAAGTATGTGAAGGGAAGTAGACTTCCCTTCTAAGGACCATTCTGCTCTATCTTGAGCCAATTTCACTGTCAGTGACACACTTACCCATATTACCCCAGTCACCAAGTCAATCTGTCTCATCCAGGATCTTCCTGTCTTGCGCTGTCCCTCCACCCTTCCAAGCATGATATCCCTCTCTAAGGACTGGTTGCTCCTGGCAACATGTCCAAAGTACGCCAGAAGGAGCTTCAAAATTCTTGCCTACAAGGAACAGCCCTGTTTTACCCTCACTAGGACAGACCTGTTTGTTCTCTTAGCAATCCATTGTATAGTCATTATTATTATCCAGCACATAACTCCAAGGCATCAATTCTTCTTCTGTCATCCTTACTCATTGTCCAGCTTTCTGATGCATACTAAGTAATTGAGAAGGTGATGGTCTGGATCAGGCACACCTTAGTCTCCACACTGACATCATTTCTCTTCAGTACTCTGAAGAGGTCCCTGATAGCAGATTTTTGC